CACTGGTGGAGGAAGGTTGTGTTATTAACATCTAGTAAGTGGAGGTCAGGGATGCTCCTTACTGTCCTATAATATACAAGATCGTCCCCCACAACAAAGATTGTCTAGTTCGAAATGTCAAAAGTCCTGAGGCTGAGACCCCTGATGTAGAGGACTGGACTCTAAGGGTGACTCTTCATGTGGCAAGAGCTCTCTGAGCTGCCACAATCTTTACCAGGTCTCTCATAGTCTTACCTGCTGGGGATGAGAAGAAACAAGTCATTTGTGGCCCCGTGTTCTCAACCTCAGAGTTGAACAGCACATTGTTTTTTTCTTACTCTATTCATGCTTCACATGAACTCAAGACTTCTCCTGGTGGTCGTACTAGGGTCTTATGTAGCAAGGAGACTTCTGGAAAAAAGTCATCTCAGACATGTCCCTGAAAGCTGGCAGATGTGTGCAGAAGGAGGAAAGAGACTCCTGCTGGCAATACCTTGAAAAAGGCGGTGGCTTCTTGTTTCTGTGAATCATAACCCACGTGGGGGAACAGCTTTCCAAACCCATGCACCTCCACACCAGCTCCTCTGGGTCTTTCCTCAGCTCATGTTTGCATTCTAGGCTAAAGTTAATTAGCATGATTTTGTGAAAGGAGGGCAAAAAGAAAGATTAACACAAATCCCTTTTTAACTCAAAACAATTAACATGGGTTTAGGGAAACAAATTTAGTACCCCTTCTTCCTGCCTGTGGGACAATAGCTCTCTGTCATCATGTATTGATATAATCTCCAAACCCAAAGCTTTTCATTTGTTGGGCTCTGTGATTCCATGGATTTACAGCACTATTTTAAATGAGCTTTCTCGAAGAAGTATTTTGGAGGCATGAGACTAGAATCGAAAAATGCTACCATTTTGAGGTAAATGTTTAATCCGATCTCTATGTCCATTACACCACAGAATATGCTTTTCTCTAAGAGTATTAATGAGACATTTCAAGCTTGATTGAAGGAGAGTTTTGCTGTTTCATGTGGACTAGAGATTCCTAGAGAGCCTCTTGTCTGCCTTTCCTCTCTTGCTTCCACTTCACTTTGGCCCTATGTGCACCGTGCATTTGATCCATTCATTTGGAGACTTCCTTTGAAGCCTTTCTCAGATATCCTTAGGGCACCTCTTGGCTCCTAGGAGTTGATTTTTGCCCCTTAAGAGGCCTCTCAAGCTCTCAGGCAGCCTGCACAGACTTTCTTTTTGATTTTGGAACAGTGGTGGTTTTTATCTACAAGATTGTTCTCCCACTTGAGGCAGTCTGCCCCGCAGCAAACAGATGTTTACATCGAGATCTCCCCTCTAGATGAATAAAATCCTCCCAGAGGCTAAAGCTGGCTGGAAAAGTTCCTTTGTGCACCTATGAAGCATAACTGAGCCCTAAGCAACCACCTTTGATATATATTTTGTGTTTAGGGAAGAAAACAAAGTAAAAACCATTTTTGTTCTGTTCAGCTGTTTCTTGCAGATGAGAATTTTTGTTGACAAAGGTTTTAGTCAAGTGAGCTTTGCCCTCTTGATTAAACAAGAGGTTAGATTGAGATTGTTTCTCCTTTGCACTTCAATTTGTTTTCTGTGCTGTTGTTTGGGCATAATACTTCATCAGCAGAATGAGTCTGGTGACTGTCTTCTAACTTTCCATCCTGTTTGGTTTGCAGAGCTTAAGCTAATTTTTTCAAAGAGTGAATCTTCAAGTGATGGAAGCTTAAGTGTCTGGGCATGTTAAAAATGTAATGAGTACACTTATTTTTGGAGGACATTAATTTTGCCAACGTACCTTGGATTCATGTCTTTCATAAGATCTAAGATCAATGCAACCTACAGTAGTGATATTTGTCATAATTACCTGATACATTAGTACCTTTCAATACCAAATATTAACTTTGACTGTGAGATCACTAAAGCAAATAATGATTTCGGGGCCTCCCCGGTGGTGCAGCAGGTTGAGCACCACGCTGTGAGGCTGTCTGCAGCTTCTGCAGCACGGGTTCAATTCCCGGCCAGCCAGGGAGAAACCCACATGGCACGGCAGACCTCTCCTGCCTCACCTATTGCTCCCCTCAGCAGTGTCTTTGGTCCGTCTTCCTGTTCTGCTCCCCTCTCTGCCTCCGATGAATTCTCTCACCCTCCTGTGCCTCTGACCTGTACCCCAGTAATTGTATAAATAAATAAATCATAAAAAAATAAAGCATATAATGATTTTGAACAACAAATAATAGCTTGACTTTTGAGGATCAGTGAAACTAATAGCAAATTTTTGAGACAATGACATACCCTTCAGATACAAATTTAAACTTGGAATATAAAGAAATATTTCTTGATTCATATCTACTGACATTTGATAACTTGGTTTCTGTATTCAACTGTTACTCCTCAATACTAATTTAGGCCTGAGGAAACCATCCAGAAGACATAGTGAATTGATTTTAACCATTTAGCTTCCAAGTGGGCTTCAGCCCAGTATTTCCAATTCCCTGTATCAGGAAAGGAAAAAGCTAAGAAATATCATCTTCAGTAAGATAAAATTTTCTTCTCTAGAGGGAAGCATTTATGCCTCAAGTCTTGAAGAGCAATGAGGGCAGATATTTTTTACCTCTATTTTTTTTAACTTTTTGCAAAATCTGGACCATACTATTGATTACTAAACTATTTAGTGCTGAAGGCAGCTCTCTGTTTTCAATAAATTAAGCTTTAATGCCTGAATCCAACCAAATAATTGACCTCAAAAAGAAGATAAATGAATAGGCTGTTCCTGAGCTCATGATTAAAATCCACTCTCCAGTCTCGTTATATTGGAATTTTTCAATTCAGTGATTTTTCCATTCTTTTCTAGTTTCTTTCACAATCTTTAACATATTTTACCCTGGTCCTGTATCAGTGAACCTTAACTATTTTCACCCTTGATTTCAAGACTGAAAGGTTTTCCAATGATATTTTTATAGTGTTTGTTAATGTTAATAACTTGGTGTAGTTTCTCTTTTAAGAGAACCTAAACGACTGGTATTTTTGAAAAAAATTCTGAGATAATCCTCATTTCATAAAATTATAATAATGTTAACATGTAGCACACATATAAAGAATATCAACATATTTTTGACTAATTGATCCTTTGAAAGCTTCAACTATGATTTTCCTTATTGAATCCTTGATGATTAAAGAATTTTGATAATACTTATTCTGATTTTATATTTGGGCCCAATTGAAATAAATATTTGCTTCACTGAACAAAATCATACAGGGTTTAAAAGTTATGACTTTTAGATTACTCCTCAGTTTTTGTTGCTCCCATAGCATCAGAATTTCTATATTTAAGAAAAAATACATTCTTTTATCCTTTCATCGGGAGAGGCTAAACATGTCACCAGAGTCCTTTATAAGCTTTGGTGTTTTTATTTGAAAACAAATATAAAACAATCATCATGATTGTAGATGCCAGTTAATTATCAACACAATGGTTTAAGGTTATATTACTTAGATTTGAAGTGGCTAAATCAAATTCTTCTCCAGGCATCTTCTGATAAACCGAAATGAGTTGTTGCTCCCATGGAATCCATAGAGAGTCATGATTTTTCTTTTCTCTGTCTCAGGGGAAAACATCCCCTAGGACTCAAAAAAAAAATACAGGTGAGATAGAAAGCGAGGGAGGGAGAGAGTGAGAAAGGAGATATTGATTGAGTCCTACTTGGATTCCTGAAGTGTTAAGGACTGACGTGTCCTTGTATTAGCTGAGAGGGAACTAGCTTCAGGAAATAAAAGGGAACTTGGAGAGGAAAAGTCAAATCTCTCAGTTGTTGGAAACTTGATAAACTCAGAGGCATTATCTTTCTTTAGCCTTCCCCACCCCCAATTGCAGTCTCTAAATGAAACAACTTGAGTTTACTCAGGCACATTTATGCAAGCAGGTGGGTGTCCTGCACACATAAACCATCTCTTGAGGGACATTAATAGGAGGCTTGTGAGACCAACAGGACACAGTGACCTTATTTTCTGTCTTATTTTTACATCCTATAAGGGCTCTCAGTAATGATCACGTGCTGCTGCAGGATAGAAGAGTTCATCTCTTGGTTTATTAACCAGAAAGTCCAATTCGAGTTCTATAAAATGCCAGTTTATGTTATAACGATAATGTGAGGTACTTCATAACTTTTTTTTTACTCATTATGGCAGCCTAAATTATATTCATTATAACTTTGGTATTAAGTGAATTTAATTGCATTATGAATCTCTGAACACTGATAATTGATTGCTATATATAGCAATGACAGAGTGTCCAAAACATTAATTTGTATATCCCATTTATGAACTACTCCAAATAAAAGCATTTTAATTGAATTTAGCATTTAAACAGATTTGTAAATAGAGTAGAGCAAATGTTTTTATCAGTATGTATTTGTTATTATGTTAACAATACTTTGCAGCATGTTTTGAGTTCACATGAAACTGTAGGGTTTTCTAAATTTTAACAATAAGGGAAAAAAGAGGTGAACTTCCTTGGAGAAGTATTAAATGATAATGATCATAAATGTAACTGAAATATCAATTAAAATATTATTACAATTGTTTCATTGATACCTACATCAAAGTATCCATTTTTCTATGAAAGGCCCATTACCAAGTCATTTTTTAAGATTTATTCCATTTATTTATGCATGAAAGAGCTGGGATACAGGCCAGAGATAGGGGGGCGTGAGAGGATTCACCAGAGACACGGTGGGGAGCAGAACAGGCAGATCTACTGAAATACACTGCTGAGGAGAGCAGCAGGGAAGTCAGGAGAATTCTGCTGCGCCATGTGGGTCAGCAACCTGGCCGGGGATGGAACTCTCCACTCAGGCTGCAGTGGCTGCGGATAGCTTCCTAGTGCTGAGACTCAACCCCTTGCACACCAGGGAGGTCCACCAGCAGTCTTCTCTAAGGTCAACAGGTCTGGTGGACTTTCTAGATCTTCCTAATTGATGACTATTTTCTGGTGCTATTTGCAGAATTCTTCCGAGAGCTCCTGGAGAATGCTGAGAAGTCTCTGAACGACATGTTCGTGCGAACCTACGGGATGCTGTACATGCAGAATTCCGAAGTGTTCCAGGACCTCTTCACAGAGCTGAAAAGATACTACACCGGGGGCAACGTGAACCTGGAGGAGATGCTCAATGACTTCTGGGCTCGGCTCCTTGAGCGCATGTTCCAGCTCATCAACCCACAGTACCACTTCAGCGAGGACTACCTGGAGTGCGTGAGCAAATACACGGACCAGCTGAAGCCTTTCGGCGACGTGCCCCGCAAGCTGAAGATCCAGGTGACACGCGCCTTCATCGCTGCCCGGACGTTCGTCCAGGGCCTGACTGTGGGCAGAGAAGTTGCCAACCGAGTTTCCAAGGTAAGTGGCAATTGCGTTGTCTTTCTAATGGGTCTTTCTCTTTTAAATGGTTCTTAAAAATTGACAAGGTGAAAGAGCTCATGTACAGTGGTCCTGGCTTACTGAGAGATCAGTTAAAAGGCAAATTGAATTTGGTTGTTTCCGCTCACTTTGAGAGGAGACAGGATTTCAGGCCCTCCCGGTGGCTTGGAACATCTTGTCAGTGTTTATCCGGAGCCTGGCACAGATTAGGCAGGAATGGTGGGCACAGGTGCTTGGTGACCGTGACCACTTGGCATTTCTGATCAGAGTTTAAGGATGATAAATACACGTGAAACACTCCATGCAGTGGCTTTATTCCTACAAGGAGTCAGTGTGCGTGGGCTCTGCAAGTGCAGACGAGTTGTGGTTGCCACAGAGCCCTGGCACCTTCTTTATCAGCTTGTTAATGTGGGCACGTTCCTCCATCATCAAGGGATCACATCACACTGACACCTGTAGAAGTGGATTAGGGGGTGCTAATGGCCAGACAGCACAAACGATCCCTTTCGTTGGGCATTTTCTGTGTAACTCAGTGCCATGTACTGCGCTGGACCTTGGGAAAGTTAAATCACTAATACCTGGCTGTGCCTCTCCTTGAGGACCAAACCTTGAATGCTCAGGCCTCTCGCCTCTGCTGTCTTTCAATGGTGACTGTTTCCTGGATTGAGGACATCTGCCTTTGTTTAAATTTTCACTTGACACTCAACTGCTTTTATAAGATGAGCTTGCTTGCCTGTTTGTAGGTGAGTACAACAAATAAACCGAAAGATGATTACTTTAAGAGGTAAAGTGAAAACGATACCTAAAGGAATTTGGTGTGATACTGTCCAAAGAAGGTCATATTTATACAAAGATGACTGTCAAACACTAGTTTCCTATTGCAGGTCTGTGCCAACGAACCACATGTTTTTTCTAACCATTGGTACTAACTATCCTGCCATGTTTCTTTTTTCCCTCTTTAATCAGTGAATGTGTCCTGAAGACCTCATTTACCCTTAAACATATTTGTCTATGGCACTATTTGTAAAATTCATCACAGTCTGTTTTTAAATTATCTGTTCTTGAATATTATATCTGAGCATGTGGAAAGATTATTTGCAAGAAGGCTGTCTAGGGGATCATCTCATGTGTTTTAAGAATATAAAGAACATACATCTCCGCTGTTAGAAAAACTATGTTTGTTTTTAATTGAAAATCAACAGTATTCTAGATACCAAAGGAATGAATGGGTTAAGAAGGAAATGGCCAGGTGAAATTGCAAGAAGGAATAGGGCCACCTGAGGAGCATGTAAAATATCGATGAGTGTAAAAAATGAATATTCTTGAGCAGGAAAAAAATTATGTAAAAGCTAAGTTTAGTCACGGAGTCTTCAATTTGAAGCATGGTTTCTGTAGAAGAATGAAACTTCCAGACCTCTTCTGGGAAACATGAGGTAAGAAATTCAAAGCGTGGAGTCATATGTGCAACATCCCTGATTGTTTATATTGATTCTGCCTGAGTGTGAATAATATTTAGATGCGTATATTTGGTCTGGGGAGAGTCCAGTGAAGTAACTGAATGTTTTCTCAGCAAAATGTCTAAAAAGCCACAGGAGAGGTTGATGCCGACTGTCTCCTGTTTCTCAGAGGTTGGAATTAGCAATTCCGTAGAAATGGTACCTCTCCTTCCTCATTCCTTGACTGTTTCAGTTTGAGGCCTTGGTCTTTCAAACTCTAACACACTATTTTCCACGGTGATGTTTGACATGCAACAGCCACTGGTGGGTACTGGTGAGTCATGTGCTCTTCTCCTCATTCCTTCATCACCAACATTATTAGCAGAGAAGCTGCTGTGGACTTGTTGTATAGTTTGTGGTCATGTAACCATGGGATGTTAACTGTTCTATGTAGTCACTGGCTTGACTGAGCTGGGTCCCATTAACCCTGATTTACCCTAATCATCAGTCGCATTCTGACATCTGAGGACCACATTCAGATGAATGGGTGGGTAGATGGATGGAAGGTAGGATGGATGGGTGGGTGGTTGGGCGGGTGGATGGATGGATGGATGGACGGATGGATGGATGGATGAGTGGGTGGACGGATGGATGGATGGTTGGATGGATGGGTGGGTGGATGGATGGATGGATGGATGGTTGGATGGATGGATGAATGGATGGATGGATGGGTGGGTGGGTGGATGGATGGATGGATGGATGGATGGATGGATGGATGGATGGATGGATAGATGGATGGATGAGTGGGTGGATGGATGGATGAATGGGTGGGTGCATGAATCAATCTTTTGAGTAATAACTGAATGGATGGAAGGTGGGAGGAAGGGAGAGAGGAAGTGGAGGAATCAGCCTTGGTTTTAAAAAGTGAGAAAATTTTTCTCAAGTAATTCATGTTTCTTACTAATGAGGGATTGATGTTTCTTACTAATGATATTTCTTGCCTAATGATTACCAGATGATTTGTAGCAGACTAATCCAGAAATAGATCTACTAAGACTATTTGGGTGCTGATGATTTCAGTACTCAAACTAAATTTTTGCAACAAGAATAACATATTACATGGACGAAATGTATTAAGAGAAGCAAAAATGGTGTTTGAAGGTTCAGCTGTTTATAAATTTGCAACTCCCTCTGGCCTGTTCATCGATCATTTAGAGTGGGTGAAGTGGCTATGGAAGAGTTAAGGAAGGCAAGGCAGAATTCTCAAGTAGGGTTCAACAAACTGATTTCGTGCTGCAAGTTGACTTGGGCGATATTTTTTCCTTCACTTTTTCTTACAGTGGCTTCTTAAGTCTGTAAAGCACCATTAATAGCTTCTAATTAATTGTTTTGACTGGCAAAGTTATCTCTTTGGCAAAACACAGGCATTTGACACAAATGTTTTGACACAACATCTTAGGGAATTTCCTTCACAGAAAATGGAGGATTAATCTGTAGGCAGTTACATAATTATTTTAAAATTTGGTTGGATCTATAACATTGTCTTTTTCTAGTCTTTGGATGGACCAAGTTAATTTTAAGTAACTGCAGCTGAGATCAGACTTAGAAGCATTAAACGAGTCTGAAGTGAATGTCCCTGGTCAGGTGGCCAGGCTTTTTTCCCCCTGCATGAGTGACTAATTTTGAGAGTGCCAAGTGTTGGAAAGGTCCAGAGAATCAGGGGCTTTCATACTTCTTCAGTCAAAGAGTAAATTGGTGTGATCACTTCTCATGATGATTTGAAAATACTTGTGTTACTGAGGATGAGGATGTGGTACAACTACAATCCCCCCCTGGAGAAATTGTTTCACGTTTGTCCTAGTAGTGATATAGAAGAATGTTCATAGTTGCATTCTTTACAATAACATACAAGTGAAATAACAATAACACCAGGATTTCATCTGCATACATGGTGATCTCTTCACATCAGGAAAGCCAATCAAGCATCCAAAATAAGTGGGTTATAGCCACATTCATGGGTGTGTGACAGAAATCCCATTTTGAGAGAAAAAGTTAAAATCAGAGAACACTTGTCGTGTATATAAAGTTCCAAAACACTCAAAGCTAAGCAATGCATTATTTAGGAATAAAATAAATGTGTGATCAAACTCTGGGGAAAAGTTTTAAATATTAAAAACACGGATAGTGGTGACCTTGGGGAGTAATGACCATAAATGTTATTGGAGGAGAACATACTTGCTTCCCAAAGTTATTATAGCACATCAAGTTTTTTTTGTTTGTTTGTTATTTTGTTTTTTTGTTTTTGTTTTTGTTTTTTTTATTGAGGTGATAATGGTTTACAAAATCATTTGTGTTTTAGACTTACCTCGCTTTGGGAGTTGTTACCACAGCACACCCACGGTCAAAACACCCATAATCCTCCACTATCACCCAGTGCAGTCCCTCGTGCTTAAGATATTTTTTTTAATCAAAGACTGAACAGGGTCAGACTTTATCATTGTTCGTCTGTGATCCTTTTCATCTGTGTAGAGATAACTGAGTGTCTGAGCTATTATCAGTGGTTCATCAGACTTAAGGCTGCTCATGGGTTTGTTAGCCATTTGCTCTCTGTGCGCCATATCATGCTGGATGATATTGGGTGGGCACGGGAGGCAAAGTTCTAAAATGTACACAAGGATGAATGTTGATAATATGGTATCCTTGAGAGAGAGAATCCAGAATGTTTTTTTGAGTATTGGTCCTCTGCTAAAACACCACCCTCAGCCCTTATAGACACCCAGTGGTGAGTGCAGGTATGGATGCCAGCAGTTCCTCTGAGCATTCACCAGACACATGAAGAAAACAGAGAAAACTACATGAAGACATTCACAGGTCGTTTTCTAGACTTCAGTTATCTATCACCCGGGAATAAGTGGAAATGACTCCATTTTCTTCACTGGTCCACCTTGATGCTATTTGAGCAAATGAGCTATAACTTCATATCATCTTGCTTTGAGAGAAAATTAACTTCTGTGAGTAAAAGCTATAAATTGTGTCCCAAAAAAACATCAATTTCACTTTGCAAGTCATCTCATTGATTTCATCCAAGCAAATTAAGTAGGTAAGAGAGCTTTAAGCCATAAAACTTGAACTTTGCTGAATATTGTCATGTCTGTCTGTCTGTCTGTCTAAAATCTTTCTTCCTTGTGGGTTATGACTTGAAAAGACAGCCTGCCTTTTATTTAGTCTTTGCTAAGGCCAAAATTTTTCCACCAGGAGATACCTGCATATGTCTGCTACACAGACTGTTGTTTTTACATGATGAGCCTCTTCAACTGGCTCATCTGAGTAAACAGACTTGCATTGACAGAATGTGACTAGGAAGCCATAAACAGAGTCAGTTTTCAGTAAATGTGGCTGATGGAATCTAAGGCCAAAAAAATTGTCATCAAATTTAATGAAATACAGGCTATGAAATTCATCCACTAGTACGTTCTCTGAACACAGGGAAGACCATTCTGAAGAATTTACTATGGGGATAATTTGCAGTAAAAGAAAAAAAAA